CAGCGTAAGACCTCCCCTGCCCTACACAACTGTACTCCTCCCCTAGGCCCCACTCAATCTGATCATATGGGACCTCTTTTGTACCACCCTCCTCCAATGTCAGGATCAAGTGATCCTTGGCCTTGACTTGGCCCGAGATGGTACGATCTTTCCACTTCTTCCCCTTCTCCAGGTCCTTATGCTAGAAAGTGGTAACTGGCATAGACTTCAACTCATACAGGACGACTTCTCTACTCAATACATCGTAAGTCATGCCGGCCTGCTGAGATTTGTCAAAGAAATGCCCGCGTAGGGCCTCTGGAATGGCACGATAAAACAAYTGGACCAGCTGGGGCTCAGTGACCCCGTGGTCCGGGACGGCTACCAAGTCGTCYATGGTACCCTTGACTGCCTTGGCACTCCTCCACTGCCGGGAGTGGATCGTTTGGAGCTTATCAGAGGCTCTAATGCCTCGCGTTGGGTCAKCGAACCGCTCCTTGAGGAGCTTGAGGAATTGGGAAAGAGGAGTGACTTTGGAATATGCAACCAGGTTGTTTTCACAACCGGCTGTACGCGCGAGAGACTTGGCAAAGCTAGCCGCTTCGTCCTTTAGGGCCTGGAGGGCCACGAGGACTTGCTCCTCCATCAGGATATGCTGTAAATAAATGTAACTGTTGACACTGGCCTCCCAGTTGTCAAAGTTTTCGTCCTTCTTTCCCCCGTACGCGTCTGGGAACTTAAGTTTCACTGGGTCCTTACGGGGTCTGACCTCTCCTTCTACAGTGGCTGCAGCTTTGGCACCCTGAATGGAGCCCTCACAAAACTTCCCTACGTTGTCTCTCAATTGCTTGACTTCACCCCCAATATGGGTGACGATTTCGCGCGCAAAATCCATGAACCCGGACCGCATGGCACTCAACGCTACATCCTGGCTCCAGCTTGCCTGTCGCTCCTCCATCCAGGCCTTGTTCAACACCTCTAGATAGCCCAGTACTTTGTCCCACTTGGCCTTATCATCTGGCTGGGCCAGCACCTCCGCTCTACACTCCTGCATCTTTGCCACTGCAGCGGTCATCTTATTCACTTCCTCTCTCCTCCTCTTCTTCTCCCTCGTCATTCTCAACTTCCATGCTTTTTGCTCGTCTTCCCTCTCTCTTCGTTCCATTGGGTCTGTCATGGCCGCTAGTTCAGCGGCCAGCGCAGCCTTCTCATCCTTAGTCACATAGGACTCCGCCTCCTCGTCTTCCCCCAACGATAAATTAGCGACCCACTCGCTGATCTTCTTCTCCAGTTTAGTATCTGTCTCCCACTTCATCGTGCCAGCACTACTCCCTTCCCCACTTTGAATTCTCATCCTCTCTTTCTCTTCTTCTGCTGCCGCTTCTGCTTCGGCAGCCTTCCTTCTTTCTTCCTCCTCCTGTTGTACCCTTTTCATCTCCTCCTCCAATCTCTTCATCTTCGCCGCCTGCTCGTTAGCGATAGCCTTTAGCTTGGCTTGCTTTTCACGCTCTTTCCTCTCCTTATTCTCTCTGACCAAGGCGGCCATCTTTTCTTGCTGCTCAGTGGTGTAGGGGCTAGTCTCCTTCCCACTACGGGTCTCAACCATGGTGATAAGTGTACAACCGGGTTAGTGGTTCCAAACCTCACCACGTAGACATCAACCCCTGACTGACAGACCTACTGACTCAATCTAAGACTCACAGAATCCTGACAGGGATCATGTCAACGGTCTCTAGCCTAGACCTACACTATGGCTGTCACTACTGAACCAGTGGCTGATCAGGAGGCATTTAAGGAGATCCCCCGTAGCTCGTCAAGAATTCTTTAACGTCGCAGACAGGACGACGTGATCAGCTTGGTTCTGCCTGTGCTTTCAGCCCACAACTCAGCCTTTCCGGCCTACTGTGCCACACCGAGCAGCCCGCCGGTCTGTACCGGTCCTTGGGAGTGTTCGTATCCCCCGGGACAGCCGAGTTGTCAGACACAGATCATCAGCCGTACTTGGTCTGGTAGGGGAGTGGTTCCAACAGGCCCTCAACACTTAAAGACGGCCTCCGTTTCAGCCTGCAGCTCGGAGTTCAGACCCTCTACACTGAAACTGAACAGACCTGCCGGACAGTACCGGTCATTGGGCTAGACGAGTTGTTTAACGAGCGCTCGCCGCTCATGCCCAGGTCTCCAGATACCAGAGTAGAGATTAGTCCTACTAAGTCCCGTGCAGGTTTGGCAGCAAGGCCCTATCCTTTATCCACAGAGTTCTATGACCTAGGACAGAAGAGACTCAATGCATAAAGAATAGACAGATAGACTGTACTCAGCAAGTACCAAGGGGTATGTGCACATCCATAGGGCAAGGGCAGGCTAAGGGCTTGGCGAGATGTTACCAACTCCAGCTTGGTCAAAGTCTTGGTCAACGCCTTGGTCAATGCCGGTCAACGCTGCTATGACCCTTGGTCAACTTCGGTCAACTCCGGTCAAGGCCTCCGGTCAACCCTCTCGGTCAACTCCCCGGTCAGCTATGGCTGCCGGCACTTCTTCCTCGCCACTCC